GAGTCGTGTTTCCTTTTTGATATTGTTCACTTTGAGCAAGTGCTGAATCTGAGTATTGTGCTCTTGCCACAACTGCTGCTGAACTTCTTTGGGTTACGCATCTTTTGCATGACCTCAAGGTCCTTATTTCACAGCAGCTCTTACTCTTATGTGACAACAAAAGTGCTATTTTTTTGAGCTCTAATCCCGTTTCTCACAAGCGGGCCAAACATGTTGAACTAGATTATCATTTCCTTTGAGAACTTGTTATCGCTAGCAAACTTCGCACACAATATGTACCCTCTCATCTCCAAGTTGCTGACATCTTCACAAAGAGTATTTCTCGACTTCTCTTTGAATTTTTCAGATCCAAGCTTCACGTTCGTTCAAATCCGACGCTCAGCTTGCGAGGGGGTGTTAAGGATAGTTGACCGTTCATTATAAGACAAATATCTATATTTGCCTTACATTACGGGTTACCATATTTGTTCTTTTATTAAAGGCAAATATATTGTATTCATTTGTTATTCTTTCTTTTTATTGCTATTTCCATATTATTTGTAATTTACCATATTTCTGTATTCTGTAAATGATTATAAATAACAGAACTCTCACCCCCATTTAGGTGTGGTGGATTCAGCAAACATTCACAGTGAGTATGAAAGTACTCAATAAGCCGTCATTGCTTCCAGTTCCTAGTAAATTACCACAAGTTTTTCGATGTTTCAAGTGGGTTTTTTTACTTGTCAAAAACACACTCTAGGTCTAGACATTGTTCACCAATTTTTGGCATCGTGGACGATGTAACTCAACTCTTGGGGGAATTCTCTTTTATATTCTCATACTTAGTACGCTTATTTTACCTTGGCAATGAACGTTGGTATCCTGAGTTAAGACGTAACCTCATTACATATCATTGAACAGTATGGTATCTCATTCTGAACATCTCTGTGTAAGTTTAACTCGCGACCTTTCCATAGAAACTACAATAGAGATTTATAAATTTTAGCATTTTGTACTCGTATATTCATACAGGTTCTAAGATCTAATTGGATAGAGATTTCATCAAGTCATCTCCTCCCGAACTTATATAATTAGAGAACTGACTATCAGGAATTTATTTTCCTCTTTTTTATACTGAATGTTGCAAATTAGAAATTAGAATAGAACTGCCAAATTCAGAGTGGGTCCCATGTTTTAATACCGAAACATTTATAGAAATACAGTGGGTCACACTTTTTTTTGTTTTTAAATTTCGATTTCTCGATTTTTCATTTCACATTTAGAAAAAGCGACCTTAGAGAACTTGTGAATCTAGTGATGAATGAGTGGATGGATAAAGTCTTTGCCTACTTAATTTGTTAATTAATTTCTTGAAAGAAAAAAAAAAGGAGTTGACACGTGTCAATAATTAAAGTGGATTTTAAATAGAACTGATATGAGGATTTGGTTGCGATGGGACACGATATGAATTGTGACCGTTGGAAGTTTATGTCGGCAACGGCATATTCTATCAGCTCCAGATGGCACTCTTTCATTAGTCACAGCTTATGCTATACTAATTACTAACTACTTCCATCCATTTTTCCCATCCAATAAATAAATAAATAAAACTTTCTTCAATAATTTGTCCCACCCAAATTATATATATATTATTTATTTTTGGCTAAATTAATATAAAAATATCTTATATTTTGTTTTAAAAAAATATTTCTAAACTTTACAAAATTTTAATTATATCGCTCTTATGGTTAATTTTGGACATGTGGACCGTGTGTAGAATAATAAATACACATCCAATTAGCTCGTTTAGGATAGTTGTCTAAGGAATATAGACTGATATGATAGGTTCTACTCATGATTGTATATGTTTGTATCTAACCCCAACAGTGGGGTCACTTACTAAGTATTTTTTAAAATTTTAAAATCACGTGCTACTTCTATTTCAGATGAAGGCAAGGCAAACCTGTACGACTGACGACAGCATCACAGCTCGAGACCAATGCACTTGCATAGGGTAGTTGTATTTATTTCCTTAGAGTTCGGTTAGAATAGGGTGTTTCATTTAGTATTTCGTTGTGTCATTTTAAAGATGTTTTCGAACATGTCAGTCTGTGACAGTGTTTAAGATGAAGTTTATGTTTTAAGATGAAGTTTAAATGCTTATTTTAGCACAAAATGATTACGTTATAATAATGGTAGCGACTCTAGGTGAGTAGAAATCTAAGGTCATTACCTGTGGGGTCCTATGCTCAGTTAAAAACTCAATCCTGACTTATGCCCGAGGCTTCATGCGTTCCCCGCGACATAGTCCAATACTTGCATCCACAGCTTCGTGCGTTCCATGTGATACAATCTGCGTATCTATGTCCAAGGCTTCATGCGTTTCTGGCGACATAGTCTAAATACCTAGCCCAGGGCTTCATGCGTTTCTTGTGACGTAGTATGTATTATTAGACCATGTTGCACTGCGCATCGGGAAGTATTTAGGATATCTTGGATTCTCGTTCTAAGACTTCTTTGTTAATTCTTGAAGCAAAACTAAGGATTTTTTTTTTTAAACAATTACGCCCTAATCCATATGAGTCATAACCTTGATTTCTTATAAACTGTCTTGAAGGGTAGTTACGTACTTTTCCTCCTGATTCATATTCCAAAGTTGTCCCATCCTCTTAATATCTTACATACTTACCCTTGATAAATGAGTCTCATATAAATTTTTGTAGTATTTTGAGTCTTACATGATCTTGAAAATATCTTAAAACTCGCATAGGGATATTTTGGTCATTTACCACCCTAAATCTTTGTCTAAATCCTCAACATATTCCAATGGCCTTGTAACTTTTTATAATCTCTTTAAACCATGTCATAAGGCTCCTCGTCAAATTTCATGTTATTTAGAGGTCACTTTGTAGGGATATTTTAGTCATTTTACACCTATCATTGGTTTAGCCCCTTATCATAATCTAATGATCACCAAATTTCATACATAATCTTATCATATCATATTGAGTATTCTCCTAAAATTTCATGAGCAACATCGTCCATTTAGTAGGTTCATGACAAGCGTTTCATTGAAATCAACGTTATTGTGGACACTCATGTCAGAAACCCTTAAATACTTATCTCAACATTAATCTCAACTTTCTTGATGACTTGCTTCCTTCCATCAAATTCTCTAAGCCTCGTTGTAACAATTTTTTTCTCTTTATAACCATACGAAAAAGCATCATAACCAGACGGTTGTTTCTTCCAACTCTTGTAATATTAAGAAGGAAGGTTAAAATAACTCTCATTCCAGCGTTAAATGTTCATATTGCACTATTGAAATATATTCGTGCAGAGGTATTAGAAAAATTAGTTGAATTATAATTTTCTTTTACATTTTTAATTAGAGTGAATCCTCCCTAAATCAATCTTTAAATCATGTTTCCTAGATTTAAGATATCTTGAAAATATAAGATTCCCGTCCATCTCCATACATACCCTTAAAATTTTGATCATAATCGTAATTCCTTATTCAAACTGTGGCTCGATACTTTTAAATCATTTCATAACTTTCATACTTGCGGTTGTTCTCAAACTTAGATTCAAAATTTTAAAATTAGTGTTAAAGCAATGGGTTTTCTACGTCTCACTACTTTCAAAACTTAGTTTTCGTTGAAGGCACTTGTGTAAATCACAAATCAGTTTAAGTATACATTGTTTTCACTAATTTATCATTAATGAAAATTCTATTTTTTCCTGAATTGAATTCATGACATCAATTTCAAGTTCAATTCTCTGAATTTTACCTTCGTTGATGTATTAGACTTCATGCCAGCATTAGAGATTTTGCATATATATATTTTGTTCAAAAGGAAACAAATGAAATACAATCAAATTCTAAGTTTATTTAATATTTATTGCCCAACACAATTTAGAAACAATGAAGCATAGAACCCAACTTAATTTTAAGGAATAAGAATTACATAGGATTGGCATGAAAAATGAACTTAATTTTGAAATGCTAGAGGGTAAAAAGAAAATACAGATAACTTAAAATAACTTCATCAAATTCTTTCGTAAAAGAGTAACAATAAAATTGTAATAATAGAAAATGAGATTTTTGATAAAAATAATATTTATGTATATATTAAATAAAAAAATATGTCAATACTATTTCGTTACTTGAATCATATAATCTAAATACTGTTTACGTTGGTGCAACTCCACAAAACAACAAATATAAAAGTTTTAGAGAATCGACTTATTGTAACTGTCCAATCCTTCCTTGAATTTCTACCGGCATCTATTGAAGTTTTTACATTAAATAGGATTCTCTAGAGAGTTTTGGGTGAGGGATTGGAGCTTTGCGCAATAGGTTGGATAGAGAGTTATATGGGGAGAGGGTTGTGAGAGGTTTGAGGAATCAAATTTTTGGCAAAAACGGACAATATTTACTCGTGGTGGGCTTGAGTTGGTACAAATTGTATTAAAACCAAATACGGTACAAGAATATTGGGCTCAACTCAATCGGTGGAGTGAGCTCTCCCCATTATACCATTTAAAAAAAAGAATTATATTGTATATATTATATAATAGAAATGGTATAGGTTTATTCACACTTGGTAACTACTTAAAAAATATACAATTAATATATTACTTTTAACTATATATATATATATATAAAAAGTATCATTTATTACAAAATTCAAAAATGACAAACCAAATACACGGTTAATAAACTCGTGTTTAGCAAATTAGAATTCATATATAGATCGAACAAACTTACACTTAAAAGAATGGTGAGATTCTACATCAATTACGTAGGAGAATGAAACATTCTTTATTAGGATGTGGAAACCTCTCTCTAGAAGACGTGTTAAAAACCTTGAGGTGAAACACAAAAAGGAAACTCCAAACAGGACAATATCGGCTAGCAGTGGGCTTGAGTCGTTACAAATGATATTAGAGGTAGACACTGGGCGATGTGCCAATGAAGAGACTAAGCTCCGAAGGGGGTGTACACGAGACGGTGTGTCAACAAGGATGCTTGGCCCCCAAGGGGGTGGATTTGGGGATCCATATAGATTGGAGAAGGAAACGAGTGCCAGAGAGGACGCTGGGCCATGAAGGAGGTGAATTGTGCAATCCCGCATCGGTTGGGGAGGAGAACGAAACATTCTTTATAAGGGTGTAGAAACCTCTCCCTAGCATACGCGTTTTTAAAACTTTGAGGGGAAGCTCGAAAGGGAAAGTCCAAAGAGTACAATATTTGCTAGCGGTAAGTTTAAGCTATTACAAATGGTATAAGAGCTAGACGAAAAAAAACTCAAAGAGGACAATATCTGCTAGGGAAACCTAGCTTAAGATTCGATAAATCCGTAAAATTAGATGAAACATAGAAACGGAGCTTAAGTTCCCTTTAAAGTTTATCCTAAGAAAAGTATGAGGGTGATACTTAACATATCTATACTTAATAATCCCAAAGTTAAGAAATACTCGCTGAACTTTTGGAATAAAAGAAAAGTGACAAAGATCGAAAAAGAGGACGATGGATGAATTGAGATCACCTTCCACAATATATATCATCATTTTAAGCCCACGTCTCAAAAGTTTTAATTTCTAATCTCTATAGCGATTGTCCTTGATTGAGCACGGCAAATCATCAATATTTTTCCTCTCACCAATAAAATCAAGAAAATGTTCCCTATCATGATATTTGTGGTGAGCTATCCAAATTCCATCACGAATCTTAATCTCAATCTGGGTCTTGAATTGGTTACATATATTCTCAAATCATTCTCGTAGATCGAGAATTGTGGTTGACAAACTATTCTCGATCATCCAATATCAAGACTACGTTATAAGCATCTTCAAATTTCTCACCAAAGCTCAAAGGTGCATGCTCAAGATGTTTGTATTTTCTTTCATATCAGGATTCAAGGATGGAATGATTACAGGATTCAAGGATGGAATGATTAGATATGAGAAAGTTCTCAAGTTAAATAATCTCTCTCCATTATCACTAACAACGATCTTTGGCTCATGCCCCTCATTAGAAGAACCTGTCGACCTATTTTCCCTTCCAACTGCTCCTACTTAACCGTAAACAAGATCTTCATGAAGGCAATATAAGATTGGTGGCCAAAGTGATGAGATATCCTCGTTTGGGTTATCCTCTAACACTTCTTTAAAGGAATCAATAATGGATGCTTAGAGTAGCCAATGCACATAAACCTCTCGAGAGATTCGAGGGGAAAAGATGTTCTTAAATATCAAAATTTCATTTTTGGTGAAATCAGCCAAATCCAGCTTCAAAATTTCAAATGTTGATTTAACACATCCTTATTACATTCACCATTGTCAATATATTCAATTGTTCCAAGCAAATTAAATGGGACAAATTACCAATCCTGAAGTAAATTATTTATGCATGAACCAAGAAGTGATCAGTGAGGATATTCACTTGTTCTAATAAAATTAAATGGGACAAATTACCAATCCTGAAGTAAATCATTTATGCATGAACTAAGAAAACCACATTGGGAGGTAGCTCTTCGAGTTCTAAGATACATCAAAGGTACTCCTGGTCAAAGACTCCGACTACCATTTGAAAACAACTTAAGATTACAAGTATATTGCGATTCTGATTAGGATAGTTGTTGAACTACAAGTCTATTTCTGGGTTTTGCATCTTTTTTGGAAATTCAATTATTTCTTGTAAGTCTAAAAAGAAAACCAATGTGTCCAGATCATCAGCAAAAGCTGAGTATCGAGCTATGACAAATACTTGTTTAGAGTTAACATGGCTGAGATACATTCTTCAAGACTTGAAAGCTTCGTTGTCCGAACCAACATTTTTGTATGTTGATAATCAAGCAGCATTGCATATAGCAGCCAATCCATTTTTTCATGAACGTACAAAGCACATTGAAATAGATTTCCATATAGTTCGGGAAAAGTTACAAGTTGGAATCATCAAACCATGTTATGTTTCAACTAAAGTTTTGGGAAGACATTAATTTGATTTTCTGAAAGACAAGTTGGGTGTGATTAACCTACACTCCATAACTTAAGGAGAGTATTATAAAATTTGATTTAAGATATAAAGTTAGTTGTGAAATATATTTTATATATCTGTAACTTGTGATTTTATTCTCTTTTTTTTTTAAGAATTGGTTAGTAGTATATTTTGTATATTTTATCTTATTTACATGAGTTAGTTGGTAGCTTATATCCTATTTAAATTTTTTTCTCGCTTGGTCCCTAACAAACATCACATCTCAATCTGATGCAAATCAATGGATCGACAATCTAACCAACACAGTTGTAACCACTCCGAGCATCTATTTCATTACATTCGAAACGCATATGGTACTCTATTTGGTGACCTATGTTGACATGTGGGTCTAGTTCCTTCTCAAAGTTTTGTTACTCCATTTTTCTTACCTAGGTTGTATGATATCTCCACATTGCAATCTTTGATTAATTCTAGCCACACGCGCTATCTTATATTAAATGCCTAGATTTGTGAAGATTTAGATTCTCATAGTGTCTTTAAATCTTTAAATAAAACACCACTATTGTTAATTTTAGGTCATGCATTGAGTAATCTTGCTCATAACTCTTCAAAGATTGAAGAATTATGAGCAAGATTACTCGATGCATGACCTAGAATTAACAATAGTAGTGTTTTATTGCGTTGGACACAACCCAATTATTATTCTAAGCGTCGTTGTACACCACAAAATCTCTTGCTCTTGTCAATACGATAAGCACAAGTGTTGAAATTAACCTCGGCTTTGGCTTCGGAAATTTGGTCTCACAATCTAGGTAAATGACTTTTCCTTAGTCACTTGAGTAAGGTATATGGCTATCTTTCAAAAATCCTACACAAATTGATGGTAATAGCATGCTAGACCATAAAAAAACTACGTACCTTATGACAGTGACTGGGTTAGGCAGCTTAGTGATTGCATCTATGTTTGCAGGCTGAGCTAGCCAAAATTTACACTTATGGAATTTATAGAATTCGACATACAACTGATGCGAGAGTCATCAATACCTTCATGAGATGCATCTCGAGTTCCTCCTCAAACTTGGAACATACTAAGATATCGTCAATGAACATAATTACAAGAGTGATTAAAATCTCCTTGAATACTATGTTCATTAGATCCAAAAAGATTATCAGCCGACATCACTCTAAACTCATAATACTCATATATGCCTCCTTCATTTATCCTCAATTGATTGATGATAGCTTGATCGTAGTTAAATTTTTTAGAATACTATTGCTCCTTACAATTGATCAAACACGTCATCTATTTACGAAATAGGATACTTGTACGACCCGCTTTCGAGGCTTAGAATTACAACGGTCACGTACAAACGTGCATTATTTAAAAGACATGATATATATATCTTTTACGTTAATTTCATCATTTTTTTCTCTTTTTTCCTCTTCTTGTCAAACATTACAAATTCTCCCTCAGCATCATGCACCTAGAAGTTCGTGTTGTTGATTCATCCATTGAGACAATATATTTATGCTAAACTTTCTTCATTATCAGCTTAATATCCCTTAAGGGTGTTTGTGGGAGGGATACATGACCTTTGTCACGACCTTCAATTCTACTTAGCAAAATTCATACGCTTCATGATTCAAACTTGATTTAGGTGTTTAGGTGTTGAATTGTTCATTCCTTCATAACTTCCTCTCACGATGTGGTTATCCAACCATATAGGTCGTGTGAGGCCTACGCTCACTTAACGATTCCCCATCACCATATCTTATTAGCCCTTAAAAAGAAGATATGGAAGAAGGAGAAATTGGTGTAAGTAAGAAAAAGAATATAACTAGAGATTTTCAACGTCACCGGAGGTCTTATCGGAGCTGTTAGGAATCACGAATCTCTACATTGGTATGATATTGTCCACTTTGAACATAAACTATCCTGTCTTTGCTTTTGGGCTTCTCTAAAAGGTCTCATACCAATAGAGATGTATTCTTTTACATATAAACCTATGATCATTCTCTAAATTAGTTCATTTGAGACTACCTCCCAACAATCTTTAATCAGGAAAATAGATGACGTGGGGGCTAGAATTTTGAGGTCTCATACCAATAGAGTTTTAAAGGACGTTGGGGCTAGAATTTTGAGGGTCTTTGTTTAACCGAACTAGGGATTGGGAGGCATTCACATTTGAATTTCTCCATCTACATATAGAATCAATTTAGGATTCTTATTCCTATAGCTTTAAAATGAGTCTATGAGAAGAAATTTAGAAGTTAAAGGAATATTTCGCCGATGATATATGAAAGTTATTAAAGTTTAACGATATTATGAAGAGGTAACTAGTTAGATTACTAAGGCAACTCAAAAGGTTAGCATCGTACCTCATATTTACAAAAAGAACATGAGATTGTTTGTCTCGTTCTTAATTTAGATTTTATACTAAATTACTGGTGCAAAGTGAGTGAATCTCATACTGGTTAAGCTCTTGAAGATGGTAGGTCGGTGGAGAGTTGTTAAAGGATATGTCCAAACCACTAGTGAGTGAATACGAGGGGTATCAAAAGGTCCAACACTTGAGAGGTTATGTCATGGAATTCTTTCTAAGTTTATCTAAGATATCCAAAAAGTCACGTCGTCATTCGAGCAGTGGTGGGTTGTTGCACTCACAAGCTTACACATGCTACTTTGGATAAAGTCTCAATCCTATGAAGAATAGATGAGACTATGTGATGCCAATATTAGCAATAGAATAAACAGTTAGGGATTTCAAATTAGACCTATTGGAAATCATTCATTTACGCCACACATATAAGGCTATTAGTGTGATACTATTTGAAACTTGATATTGACACAACGAAGGCCCCAATGTGTTGGGACTAGGTAGGCAAACATGAATTATTGGGACTAGAGTTGTTAGTCTAGGTTACCAATGAGGCCCAAAAGATCAAGGCAAGAATGTGCATGACTTGGAATAGACAGAAAATTTATGCCAACATGAGGCGTAAAGACTTGAATTTTTTAAAGTAGGCAACAAGATATTCTTGAAGGTGTTCCCGATGAAAGACATCTTAAAGGTTTGACGAAAGGGCAAGTAAAGCCCATGCTTTGTAGCAACCCTAGTTTTTTATTAACCTAAAGTCATCACCGTTTTCATAACACGACTTCTTATGTGAAAATAATCATTTAAAACATCTTCATAAAATAATGTCATGGACCTACATATTTTAAAACAATCTTAAAGATATAATAAATTAAGACAAAAACAATAATACCCTGTATTAACCTATAGTCTACGAAGTTAAATACAACTACCCTATGCATGTGTTATGGTCTTTAAAGTTGTGATGATGCTGTTAACCGTGTACGGGTGTCTTGCCTTTACCTAAAAAGTAGAAGCAGCACGTGGCTTGAATATTTTTAGGAATACTCAGTAAGTGACCTCATTATTGGGGTTAGTAAATGCAGAGACATGCATCATGAGTTAGACTTATCATTTTAAAGTCGTATTTTCTTAGGTGACTATCCTAAGCGGGTCATTGAATGTATATTTACTATTCTACACACGACCTATACGTGCATGAACGTGGGTCCACGTTTGCACATGTAGTCGTGTGTAAAGAAGTACTACACATCCAATTTAGTTCAGACTAGAAAGCCGCTTAAGAGAATGGAATGATGATTTAAATGATAAGTCTCATGCATGTGTTTACATTTCACTACCTCAATAGTGGGGTCATTAGTAAGTATTTTTTAAAATACTCAAGTCATGTGCTACTCTTACATTTCAGGTAAAGGCAAGACAGCCCTGTACAGATGATGGTAGCGACACGTAAAGACTATGGAACCGATGTTAGGGTAGTTGCATTTCATCTGGACATATTGTGTTTAATCTTGTTTTTTATATGTTTTGGATTGATTTAAGAATTTTATTTTTAACGTGTAACTCCATGACATTATTTTAAACGAATGTTTCTGCATAAAAAGGTCACGTCATGCATATTGTAGTAGCTCTATTTTAGTAGCAAAATAGGGTTGTTAAATTATAACTAGATCAAAAGTTCATTTTACCCGTGGAATTACATCTTTCACTTAAGTACTACTTATTCTCTAATAAATAATTTGTTTATGATCCAACCATAAACTAAATTCGGAGTAGAGAAGGTAGGACCCCATTATTCAAGTCTCGAAATAAGCATTTGAGAAAACTATTCATCCACTTTTCATATATGAAAATGAGTGAGTTCTATCTTGCAACGAGTAAATTCTATATCTACTTTCCTTATATGGAAATGAATGAATTCCATCTAACAATTCAAAAGATAGAAATCATGGTAAAGAAATGACAAGAAAACAAATATAAATTCCAAAAGTAAAAAACTTGAAAATATTTGTAAATATATATATAGAGAGGTTCAAGTCTGCTATTAAAATAAGTCTAATGTGTCGGAAATGAAATGGCCGATATAGCTCAATTAGTAAAGAAAAGAACTGAATTTTCGTGTCATCAGTTTAAATCTAGTATTAAAATAAGTCTAATGTGTCAGAAATGACCGATATAATTCAATTGGCAGAGCAGAGAATTGAAAATCTTCATATCACTCATCACTCATTTGCTATTAAAATAAAGATAATGTGTAAAAAATGGCCGATTTTGTACAATGGGTGGGGAGGGGAGAGTACAAGATTTCAGTCGCAGAATAACTTACATATCTACTAAATAACTGTATCAGTTCATGTCATGTAAAATACATTCAATCTGGGATGCCAAATGTGAATCGTGACCATAACAAATACTTGCTAAATAACCTCCATAGAATAAGCAATGGATACCAAGCTCAAAGATAGATTGCCTGTCTTGCTCAGAAACATCTTGAATTTTACTACAATCACACGAACGACCATGGTAATTCAAACATGTCGTGATCGTCTTCGGCCAGCTGAAATCAAAGGGGTCAGTGAAAGCCTTCAAATATGAGCATTCATGAGCCAGAAAGCTCCAATATTTGTGTGAAATATCAGCAATGCAATTAGAAATACCAATAGAAAACTCCCGAAAATCTGCTTCTATAGATCGACCATGTATTCTATTCGTATTGAACTTATCGACCCATGAGCAGTTTAAACACGTTATTTCGCCCATAGGGGAGCTCGATTTTGAAGTGTTGGAGCCCCATAATGAGCTGTGTTTAACAAGAATGAGCAAAGACTCTCCAGCAACAACCCAACAATTTGCAGCAGAAGCAATCAAAGATGGTTCATTAAGAAAAAGATGATGAGTAGCACCTGCAAGGAACAAGGAGTATGCTGCACTTGTTTTGCTCATCGTAGCGTTGCATTGATTTTCATCGTCATTCCATGAACGGACTTTGTAAGCCGATGCTAGAGCAGTGTACGTGTTCAGCAACAGGAAGTGCACGGGATGCAGCCTTAAGTTAAGAAGCTGTTTTCCGTCCCCGTCTTCTGCTTGCTCGTCGTAGAAACCTAAAGTAAGCAAGTTTTGAAGCTTCTCACAACATGATTCAGGGGAACCAATAGACAGGTACTCAGCGATGGCATTGTTAACATAATCATCTATTCTTCTCATTGCAGTGTCATAATCAAAGTTGCTAATCGAAGTTGAATCAAGCAATTCCACATTGAAAGCAGAGATTTCCTGAAGAAATTTAAAATGCATATCATTTTACTACGACACTATTCGAAAGAACAACAGAAATCACAAGAAATCGAATCACCCACCAATTATTATGAGACCACTGAGGGAATGTTGCACGGTATACGTGTTAGGGAAGGACGATAGCGCTCTTTTAATGTTTTTCATATATTTGTTTAGTGTCATGGTCATGCTTGTTCAAAGCGTGTTGCCCATGGCCGCATGCCCGTTACACGCTGAAACTCTTGCCTTGTACTACTTTATCGCTTTCTTTTGCTGCTTTCATGTTGTATTATTTCCTTGTTTTTTCTAAGAGTAACGTTTCGGCGAAATCATGACTATGTCTGGTAGACATGAAATGCCTCAGAATGTACTATAAGGGAGATGCGACCAGTTGTCGAATTCTCCCTATCAGAAAAGTTATACACTGTTTAAGCCGTTGTTGTCGTCTTTTTGCTTGCATGCTATATAACCTTAGGCGATTTTAGGTGGTCAAAGCCATGTACTTCAGCAAAGTCCTCATTAGGACAAGCAATTCGCTGGAATTCTGGAAGGAGAATTTTGTCAATGGACTGCTAAAACACTTCTCAAGAAGGATCAAAGATGGTCTTAAGACAAAGTATAATGGAACAATTTCATGGCAAGCTTTGGGAGTATTCAATCTCTAAAAATCAAGGTTGAAGGAAGAAGATAGGAGAAATTCAGAGGAATTTGGAGTATGTGATAGCTGAGAGAGTAGCGCTTGTGTTCCAGGTGGTAAGAAGCGGGAAGCGCAGTAGGAGTATTCAATCTGTAAGAATTAGGGTAATGTAAATACTACGCTTGTGTTCCAAGTGGTAAGAAGCGGGAAGCGCAATAGGAGTATTCAATCTGTAAGAATTAGGGTAATGTAAATACTAAGCTTAAGTCATGTTCAATCGCATTAGTTATGCTAGGGTATTGTAAATACTAGGCCTTCGCTGTGGTATCAGAGCCAAATTAGTGAAAGGAAGAGGAGTATTCAATCTCTAAGAATCAAGGTTGAATGTAGGAAGAAGATAAAAGAAATTTAGAGGAATTTGGAGTATGTGATAGCTGAGAGAACCTTGTGTTCCATATGGTAAGACGCGGGAAGTGCAGTAAGTCGTTGGCAAGTTTAAGTCATGTTCAATTGCATTAGTTATGCTAGGGTATTGTAAATACTAAGCCTTCGCTGTGGTATAAGAGCCAAATTAGTGAAAGGAAGAGGAGTATTCAATCTCTAAAAATCAAGGTTGAATGTAGGAAGAAGATAAGAGAAATTTAGAGGAATTTGAAGTATGTGATAGCTGAGAGAATAACCTTTGTGTTCCATATGGTAAGACGCGGGAAGTGCAGTAAGTCGTTGGCAAGTTTAAGTCATGTTCAATCGCATTAGTTATGCTAGGGTATTGTAAATACTAAGCCTTCGCTGTGGTATCAGAGCCAAATTAGTGAAAGGAAGAGGAGTATTCAATCTCTAAGAATCAAGGTTGAATGTAGGAAGAAGATAAGAGAAATTTAGAGGAATTTGGAGTATGTGATAGCTGAGAGAATAACCCTTGTGTTCCATATGGTAAGACGCGGGAAGTGCAGTAAGTCGTTGGCAAGTTTAAGTCATGTTCAATCTTGTGTTCCATATGGTAAGACGCGGGAAGTGCAGTAAGTCGTTGGCAAGTTTAAGTCATGTTCAATCGCATTAGTTATGCTAGGGTATTGTAAATACTAAGCCTTCGCTGTGGTATCAGAGCCAAATTAGTGAAAGGAAGAGGAGTATTCAATCTCTAAGAATCAAGGTTGAATGTAGGAAGAAGATAAGAGAAATTTAGAGGAATTTGGAGTATGTGATAGCTGAGAGTCAAGGTTGAATGTAGGAAGAAGATAAGAGAAATTTAGAGGAATTTGGAGTATGTGATAGCTGAGAGAACCTTGTGTTCCATATGGTAAGACGCGGGAAGTGCAGTAAGTCGTTGGCAAGTTTAAGTCATGTTCAATCTTGTGTTCCATATGGTAAGACGCGGGAAGTGCAGTAAGTCGTTGGCAAGTTTAAGTCATGTTCAATCGCATTAGTTATGCTAGGGTATTGTAAATACTAAGCCTTCGCTGTGGTATCAGAGCCAAATTAGTGAAAGGAAGAGGAGTATTCAATCTCTAAGAATCAAGGTTGAATGTAGGAAGAAGATAAGAGAAATTTAGAGGAATTTGGAGTATGTGATAGCTGAGAGTCAAGGTTGAATGTAGGAAGAAGATAAGAGAAATTTAGAGGAATTTGGAGTATGTGATAGCTGAGAGAATAACCCTTGTGTTCCATATGGTAAGACGCGGGAAGTGCAGTAAGTCGTTGGCAAGTTTAAGTCATGTTCAATCTTGTGTTCCATATGGTAAGACGCGGGAAGTGCAGTAAGTCGTTGGCAAGTTTAAGTCATGTTCAATCGCATTAGTTATGCTAGGGTATTGTAAATACTAAGCCTTCGCTGTGGTATCAGAGCCAAATTAGTGAAAGGAAGAGGAGTATTCAATCTCTAAGAATCAAGGTTGAATGTAGGAAGAAGATAAGAGAAATTTAGAGGAATTTGGAGTATGTGATAGCTGAGAGTCAAGGTTGAATGTAGGAAGAAGATAAGAGAAATTTAGAGGAATTTGGAGTATGTGATAGCTGAGAGAATAACCCTTGTGTTCCATATGGTAAGACGCGGGAAGTGCAGTAAGTCGTTGGCAAGTTTGGGTACTCAATCATACGAAAGATTTCAAAGAAAATTTTATATCAACAACCTGACATTTTTATTAAAGACACTTCAATAAAGAAGAAAATGACAAACGAAGATTGACAACAGGCCACACAGTAAAGGCTCACATGTGAATTATTAATCTCGTCTTTGTGAATTATTAGTCTTTTGTCTCGATAAATTATTAGTTTGTTTTAGGTTTTTTCTTAATTTAAGACTTTTAGAAAAACAAATCTCGCAGGGGTCCTATCCTGGTAGGTTTAATCTTTATCTCTTAGTTTACGTTTATTTTCAAATCTGAAGTCTATAAAAAGACTTCTTGAATGTATAGAGAGGCATTGGTCGATAGGTCTCTCTAAAACCAATCAGAAACCAAGAGAATAAACCTCTCTACTCCCCTTATCTTTCTTATTTTTGACACTTTAATGAACAAGTTCTTAAAAATGTTCCCCAAATAAAATCGTCTCAAATCTTCGAACCCAGCAGAAGAAAGTTCAGATGGACACAGAGTGGGCACAAAGGCCTCACCATACTGTCAATCAAGAATACCATATGGCCAGAATTGAAGAAAAACTTCAAATTGGACTATTCCGAAAGTAGATACTAAAACTATTTACCAATTTTCAACCTTCAATTTTACTCAAAGATCATGCATCAAATTCTCGGAGAAAAATATCCCAATTCATAGCAATAGGGAATCTCTGAAGATATCCCCGTCTTTATCTCCTTTCAAGACAAGAGACATGAAGATTTCTCAAATTCCTTACTGGGAATGGTTCAATCATTCAATCTAATGACGTTTAGCGACTTTTGTAGACAGATTGAGTATCCATATCAGTATGAGTTGGAGATCTTGAGCCATCTTCATAGTGGATCGAGGCTCTTCTTTGATCGTAGTTGACATCCTTTACTTTTAAAGGGTCATATATTGAGCTTGAAATTCCTGAAATACTCGGTCTCGAACTTAGGAATTTTTTCACTTTTGGATTTGACGAAGGTTCTTCGCTGAACTTTATTTCAACGCTTCCGTTATCATGTTCGATGATTTGAACAGGGTTTCGAGACTCTTTTCTTTTGAAAAAATGGGCATCTTCTATTTTCCAGAGATTATTTTTAGTTATTTGATCCTAAGGGAGGGTTTTGGAACAGTCACGACTTTCCAATATTTGCTTCTATGAGCATAGTTGATCCTTTTGGTGAGGATCTTAATGCTCTTGGAGAGATATTTGTATTCATGAACTTGTAATAAACTCTGAATATAACGACTGAAGAATGTGTTTCAGCCTTGATGTTCAAGTTTTTTTTATTATAGGTCCAGCATAAGGGATGATAATATATGCGAATCTTTGAGTGACAAAGTAAAATTTAGATAGCAATTGAAATAGACAGGTACATTCTCTAAATTAGATTGAACCATTCCCAGGAAGGAATTTGAGAAATCTTCATGTCTCTTATCTCGAAAGGAGATAAGGACAGGGCTATCTAGCCCAAGTCAGTACAAGAGATTTTGAAAAAAGATTCAGAGATTCCCTATTGCTATAAATTGAGATATTTTTCTCCGAAAATTTGATGCATGATCTTTAAGCAAAATTGAAGTTGAAAATTGGCAAATAGTATTAGGATCTACCTTCGGAAGAGTCCAATTTTGAAGTTTTTCTTCAATTCTTGAAGTATGGTATTCTAGATTGACAGTATTCAAGATGGTGGAGGTTTCCCTCTCCCATCTGAACTTTCTTCTGCTTGGTTAGAACATTTGAAACGATTTGATTTGGTAAACTTTTTTAAGAACTCATTCATTAAAATGTCGAAAATAAAAAAGATAAGTGGAGTAGAAAGGTTTCTTCTCTTGGTTTCTGATTGATTTTAGAGATAGCTATCGACCAATGTCTCTCTATACCTTCAAGAAGTCTTTTTATAGACTTCAGATTTGTTTTTCCAAAAGTCTAAAATTAAGAAAAGACCTAAAGCAAACTAATAATTCATAAGGACAAAAGACTAATAATTCACCCAGACAAAAGATTAATAATTCACATGTGAGCCTTCATTGTGTGGCCGACAAGTTGTCAATCTTCGTTTGTCATTTTATTCATTATTAGAGTGTCTTTAATAAAGACGTCAGGTTGTTGATATAAAATTTTCTTTGGAATCTTTTGTATGATTAAGCACCCAAACTTGTCAATGGACTTACTGCATTTCCCGCGTCTTACCACCTGAAACACAAGGGTTATTCTCCCAGTCATCACATACTCCAAATTCCTCTTAATTTCTCATCTTCTTCCTGCATTCAACCTTTGATTCTTAGAGATTGAATACTCCTCTTCCCTCACTAATTTGGCTTTGATTCTTAGAGATTTGAATACTCCTCTTCCCTCACTAATTTGGCTCTCTATACCATGGCAAAGGCTTAGTACTTACAATACCCTAGCATGACTAATGCGACTGAAAACTAGGTCCTTTTTCTTTTGAGCTAAAAATTTCAATTTCGGCAATCTTTTCGTTGGCTATTCTTGACGTATCTATTGCTACATTGCTTCACTCTGTATCGTGATGGTACATGTGGGGATCAAGTTCGCCACCTAGCTATTATCCTTTGATGAAGATGAGTTCCCCTTAGGGTTAACACACCAGGCCATTTTAGTGGTTGCTTACCTGCATCAGCTTAGGATTGTTCCGGTCCCTTCACCAATTGGGCCTCTTCATGATCGTATGCAACCCACTGAGTTCCCAACACTAAATCTCAGCTCGTATTAGTGAGTCTCACCCATTTGTCCCCTGCCATATTGGATATAGATACGATTAAAGAAGAGGTTGCAAATGACCCCGAGCTCGGCAAGATCATCCAACAGTTGCAAGACGAAAGGGAAAAGCTATCCAAATTCTCCTTTCATCAAGGAACATTGAAATGCAAGGGGAGGTTACCATTATCAAACACTTCCACTTTGATCCCATCTACTCTACACATGTACCATGACTCTGTAATTGAAGGACACTCTGGTTTCCTACAGTCCTACAAACATTTGACTAGTGAGTTGTATTGTTAAGGCATGCGGTTTATTGAAGGATTGTGTAGTCTGTCAACGAAACAAATCAGCTATGGGGTTCATTGAAGGATTACTACGATCAGAAGGACATGATACCATCTTAGTAGTCGTGGACCATTTCGGTAAATATGCTCACTTTTTTGCCATCAAACATCGATTTACAGCTAAGACATAAGCATCCCTATTTATTAGAAAGGTAGTAGAGTTACATAGGTTTCCAAACTCAATCATTTCAGACTATGATAAGATCTTTATCAGTCATTTCTGGACTGAACTTCTTCAGATACAGGGGACTCAACTCTGGCAAAGCACTCCATACCACCCTCAGGCAAATGAACAAAGGAAAATAAATAAAATAAATGTGTAGAAAATTACCTAAGGTGTTTTCATGGTGAACGTTATACAATAGTTGTGTTGGGCAGGCATAACACCACGTTCCATATCTTCAAAGTGGTGAATGGCAGGGCACCTCCTCCTTAGCTATTGTATGGAATCCAAAAAAACACCTAACAACTCCTCGGATGAAACAAAGGGAAGTGGAATTTGCAGTAGGTGATTGGATTTTCTTCAAAATTCGTCCTTATAGACAGGCATCACTAGCAAAGAAATGTAATGAGAAGTTAGCCCTGAAGTTTTTTGAACCTTATTTCATCGAATACAAGATTGGGACAGTGGCTTATAAACTCCAACTTCCACTTGGGGCAACAATACATCAAGTATTCCATGATTCTCAGATGAGAAGGCTCTGGGAACAAAACCATCAAGTACAGCCCAAGCTGCCTGTGTAGACCAGTGATTTTGAATGGAAAGTTGACCGTGAGGAAATTTTCAGTTATCAAAAGAATAGCACCACGGGCATGACTAAGTTATTAGTCAGTTGGAAGAACTTGCTAGATCATGAAGCAACTTGGGAGCAACATGGGAGCAACTCAACAATGTCTCCGACCCGGCGGGTGACATTAGGCCACCAATTACTAATTAGTACACTAGGAGGGGCAAGAAAGACACGGAGCCTGCAAGTTAGTCACATGAGGGCAGTTTACGAGTTTGTTACACAAGGAAAGGGGACCATTGGGGGAATGTTGAGTAGTATACTTGTTTGGAAAGGACGATAGCTTTCTTTATATGTTTTTCGAATCGTATTTCTTAGCAAAGAAGCTGAGGAAGGAGTGATTACCAACCCTGTCAAATAGGTAGGGATTATTTTATATTGCCTTAAGGCTTTTCTTCCTTCGCATATCACTACAAGGAGATACCTTACATAAACATCTTGAAAGTGATACCAAACTCCTCCTAATCGCTAAGGATAACTACATAGTTTTTTAGCTTTTGATTTTTGGTTTTTGAAAAATGTGCTTGTTTTCTCACATGTTCTTTACATTGTTTTAATCTTTGTTAAAAGAAAAATTTTAATTCATAACCAAATTTCCAAAACAAAAGCAAGTTTATGTATATATTTTGATAGTTTTTCTTACTTGCAAAGCATGGTCCACATAAGTTGGGGGCTTGGCACTACATCGCTGGCAACTACAGACAAATTTATATCTTGACAGCAACTCTGACTGCCTCACTGCCTGAGACAAAATCAACAAATTTCTCACAAATCTATAGCTAGTCATTTCAGCATAATCCCTCAACAAGAAGATGAAATTAACAACGATATTCCACAAGCACCACATTCATTTACTCTGCAAATCTTTGAGTTGAAATATATACCAAGGTCATAATGAAATTTGGCATGCTTATGTAGAACTTATGAGAAGTTGACAGGTGCATCTTTGAGGTATCCAATTTATGACAAAGAGCTTTATTCTTTGTTGCGTGCAATGCAAACCTGGCAACATTATCTTTAGCCTGAGGAGTTCATTATTCATACGGATCATGAAAGTTTAAAGCATTTGAGAGCACAAAATAAACTCAATAGACCACATGCTAAGTGGTTGGAATTTATTGAAACATTCTCTCACATCATAAAATATAAACAAGGTAAGGAGAACATTGTTGCAGATGCTTTTATCACGAAGGTATGTCCTCCTCGATACTTTGAATGCTAAGTTGTTGGGTTTTGAACACATAAAGGATTTGTACCAACATGACATTGCTCCTTTTGTTGAATCTTGTGAAAAAAGACTCATTGTGGATAATTACTCGTTGTTAGATGGATTTTTGTTTCAAAAAGGCAAACTTTGCATACCATTTTGTTCCATACGTGAGTTACTTGTGAAATATTATGAAGGGAAGATAACAAAAATAATATATAATACCTTAGGTTGCAACAAGTCACAGTATGCAATCGTGACTGCTTCTCCTTTCCTCATACTCTTTATACTCCTAACCATGACTCTTGGACCATAACCCTGAAAATCTTCATCAAAATTCACATGAATATATACAAACAGGGACAACAACAACAGCACTTAATTGATTGCAAACGTGAAGAAACACACCTTTTGTAATGAAATGCGAAAAGTTTCTACGAACAGTACTCATCTGCCATAAACAATCATGCAAAAGCTCTCACTAATTTCACGAGAAAGGGAGAGAAACGCCCATAAAGAGAAGGAAAATCATTCGTAGTTGAAACAATTACTTGATTACAACTTCCTTCACCAGTCCCAATGTCAGTACAGAAGGGGGAAATCCGTAGCCTCGTATTGATGGAATCCGACGGAGTTTCAAATCTGTAACAAGCATTGGGAGAACAACTGTGATTGATCCAGCAGAAGGTTGGATGGTACACAGCAATCCCAATGGTTTGGCCAACCGAATCCTGAACCTCGACGGCGTTGGTCAATACGAGGCACAGGATAGCCTCTTCCAAGGCGTTGTCATAGCGAATATCGGCAGAGTTCGTCCGTCTGGAAGCGGCCATGGCGTCGGCCCCTTTCCGAATCTTGACGAAAACCTCGGAATCGTCTTCAGCAAGCATCAATTTCTCCCGATTGGTGAGAAGGCCAAAGATACGCTCGGGAGGAGCAGAGCGCCAAGCGGAGGAATCGGAGAGGAGGAGGTGGAGGAGGCGGAGGGAGGCGCGGAGGTCGGATGTGTCGGAGAAGGGGAAGTGATCGGTGGAGAAGACGGCGGCGGTGAGGGAATCGGAACGGGAGCATATAGGGGAGCAGTAGCGGAGGAGATTAGAGTGAGAAATTGAGGAATTTGGGAGAGGGGAGAAACAGGAGGAGCAGTGAGTGAGGAAGAAGGCATCGTGGAGAGCGGCGGTGAGAGGAGGCAACGGCGGAGTAATGTCTTCCGCCATTTCTATGTCTTCCATTGCTCTCATCTCCATCTCCATTTCTCTCTCCCTTCTCTGGCTCGTCTATGCCGGAGGTTCAGTTACTGAAAATGAATGAGACTATGAATATTATTATTTGATTTTAAAAATATATATTAACCTACGTGGTTGACAAATAAAATGATAATAACAAAGGAGTTATGATAAAGTTTGGTTCTTTATTCTGCTAACACTATTTATACAGTCAACTTTATAATTGTTACAAATAATTTAATTCAAATTCGTTAATGTGGAGATATGTGAGTGAGGATATTTTATACAATAAATTTGTATAATACTGAAATATAAAATATTTCATTTCTCTTTATAATTCGAGAAGATTAACATTTCACAGGATTATTATATGCGACTCAATATAGCACCTACATTAGGTACAAAATACAAATGAGGTAAGGAATGAAAAAGGGTTAAAGGTAAAAATTGAAATTAAATATTTAATATGTGTAAATTAGAAAAATAACCCGAAAAGGGTATTTGTGGAAAAATAACCCTAAAAGAGTTAATTGGAAATTTAAACCACATGAAATACAATTTGCAAAAGGTATCTTGTAATAAACTAAATTTACCAAGATAATCCTAAAAAGTGGCAAATTGTAAAAATGGCCTAAAGGTGGTAAATTCGATCCACTTAGCAAGGGCATTTTTTTTTATTGAGGAAGAATTAGCATGTTTATCGGTCTCAAAAGTTTACGGGACACAAATAGGAAGTTTTTCATAAATAGCTCGAATAAAAATAAGCAAAGGGGTTCTCAATTTCTTTAGGCAAGTTTCGATCTAAGTTTCCGAAAATTGAGAAATTTCTCCTCCACTGTGAATCTCATTCCTTAAAGCTTATTTGTAAAGTTTCATAGCAAGGAGAGGAGCAACTTTGGTGAAGAAACCGAAGGCTAGAAGTAGCCAGAACCCAAGAACCAAAAAAGTTGATATGGGTCAAGTTCGATATGGGTCTTATACCATTAACTTTAGATTAAATCAAGGAACAAGGTTGGTGAAGAAGTTGAGAGGAGATAAACTCTCAATTGCCCAAATCGAGAACAACTTGGAGTTGGATTTTCTGGGTAGGTCAGTATCGAGTAGCCTATTTTCGCTCAACCTACCTTAGTCATTTTTTAACCATAATAGCTTAAACCTATCTCAAATGATTCATGGTGTGTAAGACTATAATATTCATAAAGAAACTTAGTTGATATAGTCCCTAGATCAGTGAAAAAGATGTGAGTTTTAGAGGGGTCGAGAACCATCTTTGCGAGTCATTTGTTGGCTAGAGGTAGATAAAGATGATGTGGTAACTCCAATATTGGCCACGTCGTCCCCTTTAGATTTTCTAGACCTATGCTCACTATTTGGATCGGTTCACCTAGGCTTAGACTGGTTCTCATAATAATTTTTTGTGTTCCAAGGAATATACTCAATTTCTAACCTACTCAAGAAATTTGAGGAAACATCAACTTTGGGAAGGTCGTGAAAAGTGAACCCAAACACGTTCGAACATGTAAGCATCTAATAGAATGACCTTTGCTCAATGTTTGGGCTGGTTTACATATTTTTAAATCGGTTTTCATAAAAATGTTCATTGTTCAAAAAAATAGACTCAATTTGGCACCTACTTAAAGAATTTGAAAAAAAATTAGTTTGGGAAAGGTTGTGAATAGTGATCTCGAACACACCAGAACAAGTAAGTAGCCAAATGGAGAAAGTTTCAAGAAATACTTATAAGTTTTCCGACATACCTTGGTTGATTTATCATCTATTGTTTGAGCATGTTGTATGTATATTCACATTTATAAATGCTTGATTTAGGATTAGAAACTTGTATATAGTCAATTATGTTATTGGAGGATGATATTGCCCTGGAATGCATGTTATGTTTATAATAGACTATAAGCTACTGTTTTACGTTATTATGGTCATAGAACCTAGTTTTAGATTCATAGAACATCGGGTTGACCAAGTATCTCATAGAGACATTTAGGTCGTAACCCTTATTCGTGAACTAGTAAAGAGGAGTTAGGATCTATTTGATACAAAGAGTTCAATTACCACCCAAATGGAGTCCCAAAAATCACATAGGATATACGATTTAGGTAACTTTAGTTATGCCTAGTAGTGAGTCATGGCTTTATACTGTTCTACCCAATAATGGCGTAGAAAGACAACATATTGTTTCTTCCTGAAAAGACGTGCCACAGGCTATAATAACCTAAAAATTAGAAGAAGAAAAAAGGGAAATTGTCCAACATTGCCTTAAGTTGAGAAGTGGAGAGTTTGTCTCCGCTATAAAAGGGAGGCTAACTTCATTTTATCATCCCACTTAAACTGTTTGAGCCAATTGGAGAGTACACTCTTTTGATGGCTCAAGGCCAACATTTTGGCTGATCTGACTTGGTTCTGATATGCTCGGGCCCTTTTCTCTAGTTTCAACTCTTCAGAAGTGTTTAAGCTCAGTATGATCCCCTCTTAGCTATTTTAAATTTTTGGAGTTAGTTTAAATTATTTATGCAAAATTAAGTTTAAATTATCTTATGCTAGATTAGGTGAGCCAATTCCCACAGTAGAATGCTAATTTATAATTGTGGAACTCCTTAATTTATAATTGTGGAACTCCTTAAGTAGAATTAAATTTCAGAGAGCAATGTTAAGCTAGTATCAAGGGGTCGTAGTAGCTTCTAGGCCAACCAAGTAAGTGGTCTTACTATTGGTTAGGTTATAATTGTGTGTTGTATGATGACACGTGTCCATGACTTCGCATGTGTCATATGCTCATATAGTTAAACGGTTATGAGATGATATGTGTACGTTATGATATGTTCATGACGTATTGTATGTGATGAAATGGTATGTTTACAATATGATGTGTTAAGATAGGATATGTTTGAAGACCTACTCCTGTTAATGATACATGATATGATTTGGTACGTCAGAAGACATGATAAGTTTATAATATGATATATGTTCGACATGACAATATATGATATGATTGACATGCAATGTGATGAATTGACCCCCCGATATACACATGGAAGTTATGGTAAAATGATATGATATAGAGGAAGATGTTAAGGGATTGTTATACATGAAAATGAAAGGAAAAATGTTGGGACCTCATGCATCATTGTGTGTTCATGCATTGGGGGATACCCTTATTCCTTTTACGATGGAAAGGACGCGTACGTTACGAGACAGGAAAACGATCATTATGTTTACTATAATGTTGCTATGATGGCCGCTATTCCTAACAGGTGTCCGGCATCAACAGCTACCATAGAATGCTTGCCCAACAAGAAAGAGGTATAGGAGGTATGCAAACTGACTAGTGGGTCCATACTCGCACATATGAATCGTGTGTAGAATAGTAAATACACATCCAATTACCCGCTTAAGGTAGCCACCATAGGAGTGATAGGTCTCACTCATGATTGTATGTGCTTGCATCTAACTCCAATATCGAGGTCACGTACTAAGTATTTTTTTCAAAATATTCAGGCCTTATGCTATTCTTATTTTCCAGGTAAAGGCAAGGCTCCCATGTACGATTGACCCGCATCGCAACTTAAGAGATCATGGCGCATGCATAGGATAGTTTCAATTTGAATTTAGTATATAGGTTAGTATAAGTTAGTTGCATTTCCATTTAGAAGCACGTAGGTTAGTATAAGGCATTTTTACCTTATGTTATTTTCAATTTTTATTATTTTATTTAAAAGCTTTCTAAAAAACATGTAAGGCGAAGATTATGTTTTTACGATAAAGTTTTGAATGAAGTATTTTTGCTTAAAAGGTCTATGATATGTATATAGTAACGACTTTAGATTAAGTATAAATCTATGGTCGAGACTTGAACAATAGAACCCTGCCCTCTCACTAACTCGAGATGAACTTAATTTATGATATGATTATAGAGAAATTTTTCATTATAAAATCAATGGTACATAAGGTTTCAGATGTAAGTATAGAGATAAAACATATTTTTGACTCTATTGTAATTATGAATAACTCGTAAAAAATTGACTTGCTTGTAATGGTTACATTCATGGACACAACTTATCTACCGTACATAAAAGTGCAACTCTATGTTCACAGTGAACAAACCTATAATTTATGAATAAAAATTGATTTTAAAAAAAGTTGAAATAAAAATTGAAGTGTTTAAATTAATATTTAATATATTAGTTTTATTAAATATAAATGAGAAATATATACATGGTTCAAAAGAAAATTATTTAATATTAAATATAAAAAAGAGATTATTTATTTATTTATTTATTTAATTTGAGAGATAAAAATTAATATTTAATATAAAAGATGCTAATTGTATTTTACCTTAAATATTTAAATAATTAATATGGATTAAATATATTAAATAAAAATATATATTTAAATTTTGAATGAAATTCAAATTAGTTAGAACATAAAGAGATATTTTATAATATTTAAATATAACTGAATATGTATTATATCATGGAACACAACGCACAAAAACAAGACTAAATAAGGTGAGTATAAATAAATAGTCTACTTGTACGATCTTGATCGTACTCATGAGTATAGCTAAAGTACCACAATCCTTGACTTGAGATATATGCCTATACCTAAATCCTAGTTTTATGTACCATAGTCCCTCACCCTTCTCGGGGTGGATCTAGAGAGCTTGAGAGGTATATGGAAGTCCATGCCCATTTTCACGGACAATATTGATCCGTTCAGTTTCTACGTGTCCATGTGGTTTCCCCACTCCTCTCACGGTGGGTTTACAGAGTACGAGTTTTATATAGAAACTTTCATGGTGGGTCTCAAGAGCTTGAGCGGTATATGTGTAACGATTCGAAATTTTCTACTTAATTTAAGGTCGCTACTGTATATATATCATAATTATTGAATGTAGAAATACTTTATTTAAACTTTCATAAAATATAACCTTTAGCTTAAAACACAACTATGGACTTACGTGTTTTGAAAACATCTTTAAAAACGACACAACAAAAGATTAAATAAAATAAATAAATGTTTAAATTAAAAA